TCCTTACTCTGATGCCCTCCCATTACTTGAACAACTCGCCACTTGTAGCAGGTGCGGGGCTACCTCATGTGGACCCGTTGCTATCCCAACCTACACCTCCCACAGGAAAACAGATGCCCTCACTGTAGAAGCCTCATTCCCCACATTCCAACAACCTACCTCTCCCCCAGGCCATTGGGGGTGGACCTTCAGCCCCAAATCTCCTCCTGGAGAAGCAAGACCCCCCTCCTTCAACCCCAAACCTTTTTAAAACACTGCAAAGCAACCATGCTTTGTAAAACCCTCCCCGCTAATCCCCCAAAACAGCTCAGGGGCTTGGCCTCACGTGACGAGACCCCCTGAACACGAAAATATTTTTAAACCCGCTTAGAACCTGTTTTAAACCGCTTTGAACCTGTTCTTAAAACCGCTTAGAACCTATTCTTAACCGCTTAGAACCCGCTAGAATCTGTTCTTAACCGCTTAGAAACCCGTTCTTTAAACCCCTTTTAAATGTTCTTTAACCCGCTTGAACCCCCGCTTAAACCGTTTTAACACTTTGAACCCGCTTAGAACCGTTCTTAACCTCTTGAACCCTGCTTAAACCTTTCTTTTCACTTAGAACCCTGCTTAGACCTTTTTAATCGCTTAAACCGTTAAAACCTGCTTAGAACCCCGCTTTGAACCCGTTCTTAACCTCTTAGAACCCGCTTAAACCTGTTCATAACCTGTTAGAATGTTCTTTCCCGCTTTAAACCCCCCTTAGAACCCGTTTTTAACCTCTTAGAACCCCCTTAGAACCGTTCTTAACCCTGCTTAAAAACCCCGCTTAGAAACCCCGCTTAGAACCTTCTTAACCTGCTTAGAACCCTGCTTAGAAACCCGTTCTTAACCGCTTAGAACCCTGCTTAGAAACCCGTTTTTTAAAACCCCTTTGAACCCCGTTGAAAACCGTTCTTAACCTGCTTAAACCTGCTTTGAACTTTCTTAACCGCTTAGAACCCTGCTTAGAACCTTCTTAACCTGCTTTTGAACCCCGCTTTGAAACCCGTTCTTAACCGCTTAAAACCCCGTTTAAAACCTTTCTTAACCCCTTTGAACAATTCTTAACCCCGCTTAAACCCGCTTTGATCCTGTTCTTAACCTCTTAGAACCCGTTAAACTTGTTCTAACCTCTTTAAAACCTGTTTTAACCCTGCTTAAACCTATTCTTTAACCCGTTTTGAACCCTGCTTAGAACCTTTCTTAAAACCCCTTTTAAAAATGTTTTTAACCTCTTAAACCCCCTTTGAACCGTTCTTAACCCCGCTTAGAACCCGTTTTTTAACCTGCTTAAACCCCTTAGAAACCCGTTCTTAATTGCTTGATCCGTTTATAACCTCTTAAACCTGGTCTTAACCTGCTTCGAACCCTGCTTAGAACCGGTTTATAACCTGTTAGAAACCCTGCTTAGAACCTGATCTTAACCTTGCTAAGAACCTCTTAGAACCTGTTCTTAACTGCTTAGATACCCTGCTTAGAACTGTTTCTTACCCTGCTTAGAACCTGCTAGAACCTGTTCTTAACCTGCTTAGAAACCTTGTTCTTAACCTACTTAGAACCCTGCTTAGGAACCTGTTCTTAAACCTGCTCTAGAACCCTTGTTAGAACCTGTCTTAAACCTGCTTGAACCTGCTTAAGAACCTGTTCTTTACCTGCTTAGAAAACTGGTTCTTAACATTACTTAGAACCCTGCTTAGAACTGTTCTTAACCTGCTTAGAACCCTGCTTAATACCTGTCATAACCTGCTTGAAACCTGTTATACTGTTTAGAATCCTGCTTAGAAACCTGTCTTAACCTGAATAGAACCCTGCCTTGACCCCCCCCCACATGTTGTTAACTGCTTAGAACCTGTTCTCTTACCTGCTTAGAACACTGCTTGAACTGTTCTTAAAAGCTTAGACACCATGCTTAGAACTGTTCTTACCTGCTTAGAACCTGTTAGAACCATGTTCTTAACTGCTTAGAAACTGCTTAGAACCTGTTCTTAACTGTTAGAACCCTGTTAGAACCTGTTGTAATTTGCTTTGATACCTGTTCTTAACTGCTTAGAAACTGCTGAGACCTGTTCTAAACCTGCTTAGAACCTGTTTTAACTGCTTCAGACCCTGTTAGAACCATGATTAGAACTGCTCTTAATCCTGCTTAGAACCCTGACTTAAAAAACTGTTCATTACCTGCTTAGAACCTGTTATAAACCTGCTTAGAATCCTGCTTAGAACCTGTTCTTAACCTGCTTAGAACCCTGCTTAGAACCTGTTCTTAACCTGCTTAGAACCTGTTCTTAACCTGCTTAGAACCCTGCTTAGAACCTGTTCTTAACCTGCTTAGAACCTGCTATGAACCTGCTTCTTAACCTGCTTAGAAACCTGACTTAAAAAAAAAACCTGTTCATAACTGCTGGAACCTGTTCTAAACCTGCTTAGAATCCTGCTTAGAACCTGTTCTTAACCTGCTTAGAACCCTGCTTAGAACCTGTTCTTAACCTGCTTAGAACCTGTTCTTAACCTGCTTAGAACCTGCTTAGGAACCTGTTCTTAATGTTAGAATCCTGCTTAGAACGGTTCTTAACTGCTTAGAACCTGTTAGATCTGTTCTTAACCTGCTTAGAACCTGTTCTTAACCTGCATAGAACTCTGCTTAGAACCTGTTCTTAACCTGCTTAGAACCCTGCTTAGAATCTGTTCTTAACCTGCTTAGAACCCTGCTTATAACCCTGCTTAGAATCCTGCTTAGAACCCTGCTTAGAATCCTGCTAAGAACCTGTTCTTAACCTGCTTTGAACCTGTTCTTAACCTGCTTAGAATATATTCTTAACCTGCTTAGAACCTGTTCTTAACCTGCTTAGAACCTGTTCTTAACCTGCTTAGAACCTATTCTTAACCTGCTTAGAACCCTGCTTTGAATTGATCTTAATCTGCTTAGAACCTGTTCTTACTGCTTAGAACTGTTCTAACCTGCATAGACCCTGCTTAGAACTGTTCTTAACATGCTTAGAACCCTGCTTAGAACCTGTTCTTAACCTGCTTAGAACCCTGCTTAGAACCTGTTCTTAACATGCTTAGAACCCTGCTTAGAACCTGTTCTTAATCTGCTTAGAACCTGTTCATAACCTGCTTAGAACCCTGCTTAGAACCTGTTCTTAACCTGCTTAGAACCTGTTCATAACCTGCTTAGAACCTGTTCTTAACCTGCTTAGAACCCTGCTTAGAACCTGTTCTTAACCTGCTTAGAACCCTGCTTAGAACCTGTTCTTAAACCTGGCTTAGAACCCTGCTTAGAAACCTGTTTTAACTGCCTTAGAACTGCTTAGAACCTGTTCTTAACCTGCTTAGAACCCTGCTTAGAACCTGTTCTTAACCTGCTTAGAACCCTGCTTAGAACCTGTTCTTAACCTGCTTAGAACTCTGCTTAGAACCTGTTCTTAAACTGCTTAGAACCTGCTTAGACCTGTTCTTAACCTGCTTAGAACCTGCTTAGACTGTTCTAGAACCTGCTTATGTTGTGTAGTCCAGCTGGGTTGTGGAGGTCTCTGGGAGACTAATTTAACAATTATATGGTCACACCTTGCCTGGCAGACGTCTTGTTGCCACGCCCACGTCTGAGGTCTTTTGTTCTTAACAGCGTCAGATCTAGGCGTCAAGGTCGTACACGTGGATGTGGAGGTGCTTGGGACACATTAAAAGCCAAGGGAGAGCATGATCATGAGATTCGGCGGAGCTGCTGCTGGGATAGCAGAAGCTTGGCAGTAGATTCGAGCGGAGCTGCTGCTGGGGAGCAGGGTCGTGTGAAAGGCTCTGAAGTCTTGGAGGAGACTGTTGGAGGCATTGGGCAGGTACTGGCTTGGCGAATTATCGATGCTGTATAGGGTCTTGGGACTGTGGCTCAGTTCCTGTAGTGAACTGACTCTGTGCTATATTGTAAGTTATAATGCATTTTCGTCAAGTTTATTGTAATTTCCTGTCTCACTGCTTATGTGTACACCCCATTTATCACTAACCACAATATGTTCTGTTCCAAATAATATTATTGTACTAAGACTTAATAATAAACGTGTTGAGTAGAATAGTAATATTCACTGTCCGTTATTTTTATCCACTTTATTTATGTTTATTAATGTAAGTGAGAGGGTGAGCAGTGTGGAGTGGAGTGGTAGAGTAATGAGAGTGAAGATGTAGTCACCAGTGACTACATTTATACCAACCTCCGACATCCTCACTCCTACCACCTCGCTGTCCCCTACCTATGACTCCCCCGCTTTACTCCATATTTCCCTTATATCCATTCAATCTTACCCCTACTGACATGGGGTCTATGCGGTGGAGGTTTCTTCTAATTTTTATAGTAGGAACCAAGTCCCATGTGCTCCTTATTTTGACTGCTCGGTTATAACTTATGCTACATTTGTACCCTTGATTTTGTGTGTTATATAAAGATTATAATCATAGTGACATTAACTGACCTTTTCGCTGACAGTGGTCTGAATAATTGACTTGAGTGTAATATATATTTGTGGAGTTGGTTGGTGGTTAGAGATAAATGGTGGGGATATCAGTATTTGGGTGAGCCTTTTGGGGAAGCCATTTACTGGCCGAATTGAATATTTACAGGAGGAATGAGAAGTCACCCAGTCCGACTTGAAGACTTACCCACAACTGTCACCCATTGAAGAGTTGGCCTATGATTGCTGTCCACCTGATGTGCCCCAGTCACCCAGCTGATATGCCCAGTCACAGCTGTGTGCCCCAGTAGATGTATTGTGCCCTGGTCTGTCATCCAGTGTGGTGGGTGTCTGTCTGCGTCACCCAGCCTCTGTGACCATCACCCACGGACCGCCAGTTACCGCAGTTGCCAGGGATGGGTGACCGCACCTGCTGTTGATGACCTGAAGTGACCTCACCTCACCTCGAGCAACTGACCATAGCCTGCTACTGCTGATGTCGGCTGCTGTGATGCTGCTGAGATGCTGTAGCTCGTGCTGCTACTGCTGTGTGGCCGTGCTGAGATGATGCTGTAGCGTGCTGCTATTGCTGGGCCGTGCTGTGGCTGTGTGACGTGCTGAGATGCTGCGCCGTGCGCTGATGTGCCTGTGAGTCGTCTGTGGCCGTGCTGTGATGCTGGGCCGTGCTGGATGCTGTGCCGTGCTGCGATGCTGTGGCCGTGCTGTGTGCTGCTGTTGATCGGCCGTGCTGATGATGCTGCCTGCTGATGACGTGCCGTGCTGTGATGATGGATATGCTGTGGCCGTGCTGTGATGCTGCGATGCTGCCTAGCTCAAGAGGAGATGGCGGTGATGCTGCAGTGGTGTGTGAGGGATTCTGGCTGGTGTGCCAGGACAGGAGAATCTACTATGAAGGAGTTGCCATCCTCGGAGATGTGGAAGGACGTGAGCCGCGGAGATGGACTCCAGCTGCTGGGACCAGCCTGCTTTCAAGGGCGGCATGGAGGTGTGTCCTGCCTTGCTGGTCGACCTGTGCGACAGGTATGCGGGGATGCCCTGCCAGCCATGAGAGACAATTAAGAGTGTGAGATGTCCCCAGCCTACTTTGACTTGCCAGAAGTGTTAGTGTTACCTGTGTGAAATAAGGTGACCTTGAAAACGGTCCAGTGATTATGGCCGCCTTGTTTTATGAGGCCAGTGAATCCTAGTAGTGGCATAGGATAATGGAGGGTCTTAGCTGCGATGCCTGCCCTGTCTCGATTTTCAGATGTTGTAGTGTGCATGTGAAGTGTGCCGAAAATGCGACCTTGGTGGTCGTGAAGTGGTCCAGTTGCAGTTACTTGAAAGAATGCAACCCGTTGGAGCAGTTTTCCACGCCATAGAAGCCTGAGAGGTTTGGCCCAATGGTTAACGTGCGAGGGTGACTAGCATTGGCTAGTGCATTTCTAGTAGAAGTAGGGAAGGCACTGGAGCCCGATATTTAGGTTTAAGGAGAAATGACGGGTAAGGAGGCTTTGCACCAGAGACAACTATTATGCTGGCCAACTGCCAGGTGTACTGATTATGCTGCCTTGTGGTAGATGAGGAGGTTGAGGGAAATATATGTAGTGAATAATTTGATTATGTATAATTTTGTCTTTGTATTGTAATAGATTTAAGGGATTAGGATTAAAATAGTCTAATAACTAGGACAAATTGTCCTAGTTCTCAGATATTTTAAACTGGGGGAGAAAGGGGGATGTGATGTAGTCCAGCTGGGCTTGTGAGGTCTCTGGGGAGACCTAATTTGACCAATTATATGGTCACACCTTGCCTTGGCAGGCGTCTGTAGCCACGCCCACGTCTAAGGTCTTTTGTTCTTGACGCCTCAGACCTAGGCGTCAGGTCGTACACGTGGTTGTGGAGGGTGCTTGGACCACCATAAAAGCCCAAGGAAGAGCATGATCAGGAGAGATTCGTGCGGAGCTCTGGCCTGGGTGCAGAGCTCTGAGCAGAGAGACTTCGAGAGGAGCTGCTGCTGGTGTGCAGGGCTCGGGAGAAGGCTGCTGAAGTCTCTGGAGGAGACTGTTGGAGGCATTGGGCAGAGTACTGGCTTGGCGCATTACTCGTGCTGTGCAGGTCTTGGGACCTGTGGCTTAGTTCCTGTAGTGAACTGTCCTCTGTGCTATATTGTAAGTTATATTCATTTTCGTCGTCAAGTTGATTGTATTTCCCTGTCTCACTGCTTATGTGTACCATCCCATTTATCTAAACCAATGATGTACTCCTGTTCCCAAATATATTATTGTACAAGGACTTAATAAACTGTTTGAGTAGAATAGTAATATTCACTGTCCCCGTTATTTTCTCCATTTATTTATGTTTAGTTAAAGTAGTGAGAGGGTGAGCAGTGTGGAGTGGAGTGTAGAGTAATGAGAGGTGAAGATGTAGTCACCGGTGACCTCACCTTATCTACCAACCTCCGCATACCTCACTCCTACCACCTCGCCTGTCCCCTACCTACTGACTCCCCGCTTACTCCCATATTCCCCTTATATCCTATTCAATCATTACCCCCCCTACATGACACTCTCTCACCACTTTCTTCACCTTTCTTTTACTCTCCATATACTCTGCTCTTCTTATAACACTTCTGCTTTGTAAAAACCTCTCATAAGCTAACTTTTTATTTTTTATCACACCCTTTACTTCATCATTCCACCAATCACTCCTCCTTCCTCCTGCCCCTACCCTCCTATAACCACAAACTTCTGCCCCACATTCTAATACTGCATTTTTAAAACTCATTCAACCCTCTTCAACCCCCCCCCCCCCCCCCACTACTCATCTTTGCACTAGCCCACCTTTCTGCCAATAGTCGCTTATATCTCACCTGAACTTCCTCCTCCCGTAGTTTATACACTTTCACTTCCCTCCTACTTGTTATTGCCACATTCCTCTCGTCCCATCTACCTCTTACTCTAACTGTAGCTACAACTAAATAATGATCCGATATATCAGTTGCCCCTCTATAAACATGTACATCCTGGAGCCTACCCATCAACCTTTTATCCACCAATACATAATCTAACAAACTACTTTCATTACGTGCTACATCATACCTTGTATATTTATTTATCCTCTTTTTCATAAATATTTATTACTTATTACCAATCTTTTTCTACACATAGCTCAATTAAAGGCTCCCCATTTACATTTACCCCTGGCACCCCAAATTTACCTACTACTCCCTCCACAACATTTTACCCACTTTAGCATTGAAATCCCCAACCACAAGTACTCTCACACTTGGTTCAAAACTCCCCATGCATTCACTCAACATTTCCCAAAATCTCTCTCTCTCTCCTCTACACCTCTCTCTTCTCCAGGTGCATATACACTTACTATAACCCACTTTTCACATCCAACCTTTATTTTACTCCACATAATCCTTGAATTAATACATTTATAGTCCCTCTTTTCCTGCCATATCTTATCCTTCAACATTATTGCTACTCCTTCTTTAGCTCTAACTCTATTTGAAACCCCTGACCTAATTCCCATTTATTCCTCTCCACTGAAACTCTCCCACCCCTTTCAATTGTTTCACTTAAAGCCAGGACATCCAGCTTCTTCTCATTCATAACATCCACAATCATCTCTTCTTATCATTTGCACAACATCCACACATATTCAGACTTCCCACTTTGACAATTTTCTTCTTCTTATTCTTTTTAGTAATCTTTACAGGAAAAGGGTTACTAGCCCATTGTTCCGGCATTTTAGATGACTTTTACGACACGCATGGCTTAAGGAGGAAAGATTCTTATTCCACTTCCCATGGATATAAAAGGAAAAGTAATAAGACCAAGAACTATTAAGATAAAATCAAAGAAAACTCAGATGAGTGTGTATAAATAAACGTGTTACATGTATGTGTAGTGTGACCTAAGTGTAAGTAGAAGTAGCAAGACATACCTGTAATCTTGCATATTTATGAGACAGACAAAAGACACCAGCAATCCTACCATCATGTAAAACAATTACAGGCTTTTGTTTTACACTCACTTGGCAGGACGGTAGTACCTCCTTGGGTGGTTGCTGTCTACCAACCTACTATACGTATAAAGATACACAACACATCCCTCCAAACTGCCAATATCCTGAACCCGTCCTTTGAAGTGCAGGCATTGTACTTCCCATTTCCAAGACTCAAGTCCGGCTATATAAAATAACCAGTTTCCCTGAATCCCTTCACTAAATATTGCCCTGCTTACACTCCAACAGCTTGTCAGGTCCCAAATACCATTCGTCTCCATTGACTCCTATCTAACACGCTCACACACGTTTGCTGGAAGTCCAAGCCCCTCGCCCACAAAACCTCCTTTACCCCCTCCCTCCAACCTTTTCGAGGACGACCCCTACCCTGCCTTCCTTCCCCTACAGATTTATACGCTCTCCATGTCATTCTACTTTGATCCATTCTCTCTAAATGCCCAAAACCACCTCAACAAACCCTCTTCAGCCCTCTGACTAATACTTTTATTAACTCCACACCTTCTCCTAATTTCCACACTCCGAATTTTCTGAATAATATTTACACCACACATTGCCCTTAGACAGGACATCTCCACTGCCTCCAACCGCCTCCTCGCTGCAGAATTTACAACCCAAGCTTCACACCCATATAAGAGTGTTGGTACTACTATACTTTCATACATTCCCTTCTTTGCCTCCATATTTAATATTTTTTGCCTCCACATATAACCTCAATGCACCCTTTGAGAGGGTAGCCAAATCTCCCTCTTAATTTGAACAATCAGCTTTAAGAGTGACTCTCACAGATGATTACATTCCTGTAAATAGAATATTATTCTAACTGTATGGTTTACTTGGTTATGGAGGGATTAATTATAAAATTAGATGACTGTGGTGGTTGATCTTTTTAGTTTGGAAGGATGGAACAAAATAAGTGTAGGTTGACCAGAAAGGGTTGGAGTGAGGGTATGAAGGATTTTGAGAGATGGGGTTTGAGTATACAACAGACATGTGTAAGTTTTGTACTTTGGAGTGAGAAGAGACATGTAGTATTTGGGATTTAATGTGCTGTTGGAGCATGAGCAAGGCAAATTCTATAAAGAGATTCAGAGAAATCAGTTAGCCACACTTGAGCTCTGAGGCTAGGAAGTACAAAGCCTGCAATCTGAAGGATGGTTGGGGGATGATGCATTTCGGTGAATCATTGAAATGTTTTTAGTCTTCTAGAAAAAGCTTGGGAAAGGATAATGCTGAATTTGCTTTTCTTTTTTGGATCATTCTTCCTTGGTGATAAATAGACAATGTGTTTAAAAATAAGCACATTGGCTGGTAATAATGGTGAATGATTGTGAGGAATGTGTTTTCTGCTCTGGGTGAGCCTACCTTAGTAGGGAACAGCCAATGTGGTAAAAAAAGTAAAGCAATGTTATGTGTTTACAAATACTCTATTATGTAAAGGAAAATAATAAATAAAATGATCTTACTGCACCTCATGGTTCTTCCTTGGCAAAATTCTGTCAATACAGAACATGATGGACTGGCAGTACTTAATGCATTTTTTATTAACTTTATGTGAGCCTTGGTCCCAATCAAAGTAGTGAAGATTCTGTAAAGATTATGTATAGTATTAGTAAATCACCGCATCAACACTCAAAGTTTTCACTATTTATCCTTTTAGTTAATAACGGGACATTTTGACAACTGATGTCAGTATGAAATACATTATTTTATTAAGGATATTCATAAACTTTTACTGGCTAATGACTTGAAAAAATTTACACTTTAATTATAATAGTATATCATACTTATTATTGTCCTTATACCTAAGACATCATAATATAAAAAAATCTCTAAATACAGTAGAGCCCCAATTATATGGCAGGTTAGGTTCCAGGCTTCCGCCTTAAAGAGGAATGCCATTTTTTCCACTTATAAATGCCAGACAAGTTTACACTAATTTATATTAAGTTAGTAATAGAACTAGGCATTAAAAAACACAATAAAAAGAAAAAAAAAACACACAGAACACCCATTACTTACCTTAAAATATTTGTAGTCTTAATGTAGGGTGAGAGGCGAGTCGTATTTATCTGTAGGAAGTCAGGTGTGGGAAGTATGGTAGCCAGCCAGGGCAGCCCACCCCACCCATACATAATGTAAACAAACAGACACATCTGTTTTTGGTTGATACATGTTCATTCCCAAGTCTGTGAATCTTATACCATAACACAAACATTTTACATTGTGCACAAGTTGTCTCCACATTGATACAGCAAAATAAATAAAGAGGAACACTCCCATTCTCATGTTACACCATTTTTAGAAGAAATGATGCTCTGAGTGAAGGCATATGAAAGTAATAATTTTCTAGTTACCCCCCAGTAATATTACAGTGTACACATTTTTTCCTCTGATGTTGGACTAGAGAAAACGTTATTCTTGCCATCTCTCCTACAAGTCACCTGGCTACCACATCTCATATTTATGTTAATTTATTCTACTGTGGGGTGTATTTAGCATGTTTATATGTTACGTAGCATGCTTATTATATAATTTTGAAAAAAATATCATAGATTTATTAATGGAAATGTCCATACTAATGTAATATACGACATTTAATGTGCCCAAGAGATTATTATTATTAATATGGCATCAAGAGTACTGAGACTCTTAATGATATTAGTGTACCTGCATGCCAGCACAGTGTGTAAGTATATTTAGGTACAGGTACACATTACGTAGTACAATTATCAGAGCACATATAAAATGGAGTGTGAGCAGGGTAATATTTAGTGAAGGGATTCAGGGAAACCAGTTATTTTTATATAGACAGACTTGAGTACTGGAAATAGAAAGTACAATGCCTGCACTTTAACCCTTTCAGGATTTCCGAGTACAGTGGACCCCCGGTTAACGATATTTTTTCACTCCATAAGTATGTTCAGGTGCCAGTACTGACCGAATTTATTCCCATAAGGAATATTGTGAAGTAGATTAGTCCATTTCAGACCCCCAAACATACACGTACAAACGCACTTACATAAATACACTTACATAATTGGTCGCATTCAGAGGTAATCGTTATGCGGGGGTCCACTGTACTAGTACGGCTTACGCACCAGGGTTTTTGACATACTAGCATGCCTAAATTCTAGCGCCCTCAAATCTAGTGATAGAAAGCTGATAGGCCTACATATGAAAGAATGGGTCTATGTGGTCAGTGTGCGCAGTATAAAAAAATCCTGCAGCACACAGTGCGCAATGAGAAAAAAAAAACTTAGTGTTTTTGGTTTAAAACAGCGACTTTGCACTGTATTTTTGTATGGTATTGATGATGGTATTCTAGTTTTCCTGGTCTCATTTTATAGAATGGAAGACATATTACAGAAATTGAGATGATTTTGATTGGTTTTACAATGAAAAGTACCTTGAAATTGAGCTCAAAGTAGCAGAAATCTTCAATTTTTGCCAAAGCTCAAAAGGAAACAAATCATGTTACGCGTCCAATACACATTAACTGGTGAGTCCTAATATTCTTTCACAAGTGCGCTGATATTATTTATACCATTCTACACTAATACAGTAGTCTGTATAACAGTAAATCTTCTATTTTTTGTGAGAATAAAAATTCAAAGTGAAAGCAATAGAATGTAAAAAGGGACGGGACATGACTAATTTTTTTTTTTTTAACAAGTCGGCCATCTCCCACTGAGGCAGGGTGGCCCAAAAAGAAAGAAAATCCCCAAAAAGAAAATACTTTCATCATCATTCAACACTTTCACCTCACTCACACATAATCACTGTTTTTGCAGAGATGCTCAGAACACAACAGTTTAGAAGCATATACATATAAAGATACACGACATATCCCTCCAAACTGCTAATATCCCGAACCCCTCCTTTAGAGTGCAGGCATTGTACTTCCCATTTCCAGGACTCAAGTCCAGAAATATAAAAATAACCGGTTTCCCTGAATCCCTTCACTAAATATTACCCTGCTCACACTCCAACAGATCGTCAGGTCCCAAATACCATTCGTCTCCAATCACTCCTATCGAAAACGCTCATGCACGCCTGCTGGAAGTCCAAGCCCCTCGCCCACAAAACCTCCCTTACCCCTTCCTTCCAGCCTTTTCGAGGACTACCCCTACCCCGCCTTCCTTCCCCTACAGATTTATACGCTCTCCATGTCATTCTACTTTGATCCATTCTCTCTAAATGACCAAACCACCTCAACAACCCCTCTTCAGCCCTCTAATACTTTTATTAACTCCACACCATCTCCTAATTTCCACACTACGAATTTTCTGCATAATATTTACACCACACATTGCCCTTAGACAGGACATCTCCACTGCCTCCAACCGCCTCCTCACTGCTGCATTCACAACCCAAGCTTCACACCCATATAAGAGTGTTGGTACTACTATACTTTCATACATTCCCTTCTTTGCTTCCATAGATAACGTCTTTTGTCTCCACATATACCTCAAAGCACCACTCACCTTTTTTCCCTCATCAATTCTATGATTAACCTCGTCCTTCAGAAATCCATCTGCTGACAAGTCAACTCCCAAGTATCTGAAAACATTCACCTCTTCCATACTCCTCCACCCCAATTTGACATCCAATTTTTCTTTATCTAAATCATTTGATACCCTAATCACCTTACTCTTTTCTATGTTCACTTTCAACTCTCTACCTTTACACACACTAATGACTAATGAACAGAGGAAATGTTATTTTAGTGCCAGGAATGTCTTTCATGTTTATTCTGGACCCTATTTGGAAATTGGCATCTTTTGAAATTTGTGTGAAATTGGCAAAATTGCTAAATTCTGCCCACTTTATTGGATAGTTGAAATCAGTAAATGGGTGGTTTCTTGTACTCATTCGATAGAAAAAAATGGAGTTCTAGCGAAATAGTAATGATTTTTGTCGATTAGTACACTGGAATTGGCCAAAAATAGGGCTCAAAGTGGGCAAAATCGCCAATGCGTAAACATCATTGAGACCGCTAACTTCGCAAGACATAATTCCATAAGTTTTCCAACAAATTTCATACTTTTGGTGTCATTATGATCGGGAAAAGATTCTCTATCTTTCCAAAAGAACATTTTTTTTTTTTTTTAAATTTAGCGACCCTGAGAACAAGTCTGGGAGAGGGCCTGTTGACCCTGAAAGGGTTAAAGGAGGGGTTTGGGTAAGTAAGTAAGTAAGTAAGTAAGTAAGTAAATTTATTCAGGTATACACAATACAGTTACATAGAATTATCATACATAGCAGCATATGTGTAGAGAACCTGGGATATTGGCAGTTTGGAGGGATATGTTATATATCTTTATATATGCTTCTAAACTGTCGTATCTGAGTGCCTCTGCAAAGACAGTGATTATGTATAAGTAAGGTGAAAGTGTTGAATGATGATGAAAGCATTTTCTCTTTGGGAGAAAATGCTTTCATCATCATTCAACACTTGTTTGGGAGATGGCAGACTTATTGAAAAAAAATTAAATAAAAAATATATAAAATATGCAATAACTTTAAAACACTTTAAATTTTAGAAAGTTTCCAAACATAATAGAGAGACGTGCTCATGGAGAATGTAAAGAAACTGGGTGGGGTACGCCGTATAAAAAAGACAGGTTGTTGTATAGCGAGTTTTGGTCATAATTTGAAATCACCGTATTAGCGGAATGCCGTAAGGCGAAACGCCATAAAGCGGGACCCTACTGTGTATGCAGAGTGTTATGAAATTTTGTACAAGTCCTGTCTCACTTTATAAAAAGCTAGTGATATATATCTAACCCATGAAATATTCACAAATCAAAAAAAAAAAATTCTCCCCAAATTGTAGAGAACACTTATACACCATATTGACTTTAACAATAAGTAATATTTCAAGACTTGGAACATTGAAGTATAGTACATCTAGTATCTAGTAACACAAAATTATAACATTAATACTCAACCTTATTTTATCCTTGAATAACTGACTTTCCTCTATCATTTTTGTGATGAAGGAGATCTCTCCGCCTTCTGTCACTTTTTCATGAATCGCACCTAAATAAAATATAAAAACATTATATCTTTTTATTAAAACATGGATAAAAATCTAAGTAATTTCTACACTCACCAGCGTTTGTAAAATATCAACAGCATCAAATAGTTTCCATGTATAAGTAATAACAGAACATGACTGTGTAGTAGAACTGGTGAAGAACAACTGGTGTAGAACAACTGGTGTAGAACAACTGGTGAAGAACAACTGGTGTAGAACAACTGGTGTAGAACTGGTGTAGAACAACTGGTGTAGAACAACTGGTGTAGAACAACTGGTGTAGAACAACTGGTGTAGAACAACTGGTGAAGAACAACTGGTGTAGAACAACTGGTGTAGAACAACTGGTGAAGAACAACTGGTGTAGAACAACTGGTGTAGAACAACTGGTGTAGAACAACTGGTGTAGAACAACTGGTGTAGAACAACTGGTGAAGAACAACTGGTGTAGAACAACTGTGTAGAACAACTGGTGAAGAACAACTGGTTAGAACAACTGGTGTAGAACTGTGTAGAACAACTGGTGTAGAACAACTGGTGTAGAACAACTGGTGTAGAACAACTGGTGTAGAACAACTAGTGAAGAACAACTGGTGTAGAACAACTGGTGTAGAACAACTGGTGTAGAACAACTGGTGAAGAACAACTGGTGTAGAACAACTGGTGTAGAACTGGTGTAGAACAACTGGTGTAGAACAACTGGTGTAGAACAACTGGTGTAGAACAACTGGTGTAGAACAACTGGTGTAGAACTGGTGTAGAACTGGTGTAGAACAACTGGTGTAGAACAACTGGTGTACAACAACTGGTGTAGAACAACTGGTGTAGAACTGGTGTAGAACTGGTGTAGAACAACTGGTGTAGAACAACTGGTGTAAAACAACTGGTGTAGAACTGGTGTAGAACAACTGGTGTACAACTGGTGTAGAACAACTGGTGTAGAACAACTGGTGTAGAACAACTGGTGTAGAACAACTGGTGTACAACAACTGGTGTACAACAACTGGTGTACAACAACTGGTGTAGAACAACTGGTGTAGAACTGGTGTAGAACTGGTGTAGAACAACTGGTGTAGAACAACTGGTGTACAACAACTGGTGTAAAACAACTGGTGTAGAACAACTGTCTCAGTAGTAGTAACCAGTTACCAGTCTCAGTAGTAGTAACCAGTTACCAGTAACCGTCCGTTGACTCAACGACCAACCGTCTCTGCCTGAGTCACTATCTGAATTCATATTGTGCTGACCTCAGCAGTATTCAAAGCCCCCCTCACATAGGGTACTGCAGCCGGCTAGTCAGTATTACGAGTGTAACCAAGGAGATAGGTACGGCTGGCAAGGGCTCTCTCCACATAACAGCAATTATACGTAATAACAGCCTACGTGAGTATTTCTTCCCTAATCCACGTATCGAACTCCCACGTGATAAATGGTGTACAGCGGTGGGAGCGTGGATTTACGTTTTTAAGGGTAATTCAAGGCGTTTGAAGACTGTTGTGAGTAGCCGGCAGGGTCAAAGGTGAATCTCCAGCCACCAGCCACTACCCTCACACACCACCTCGAGCCAGCAGCCTGACTCCCCTCACAGCTTTCATCCTGCAAGCCTGTTGCAGCCGTTTCAAGCTTCCTGGCTTAGTTCGTGTGCTAATTGCTTCAATCTCCGAGGGGTTGACCCGGATTTTGCAATTAAGCCAGTCAGTAAGCCAGACTGTGGAAGTGAACGCCAGTCAGCCTATCATCCAGCCTGTCTCCTGTCATCCAACTGCTCTCCGTGTTTTGGGTGCATCGTTACACGTCTTCCAGTCAGCCATTCTCGTGGGGTAAGCCAGTCAGCCAACCCAGCTTCTAACCCAGCTGAGAGAGAGAAGTAAGCCACGCAGTAAGAAGTAAGCCAAGTTCCTCTGAGGTATTGTCTATATTGCTTTGTGCTCCCTGTTGGATGCTAAGAGTGGTTTTCACCATTCCTGTGGCATAGAGTGGCTTAAGCCACCTTCGTGGGTAGAGAGTGGAGTCCGCGCCAGTGAGCGCCAGCAGAGTCATCCACTCCACCGAGTTTGTTCATTCCTCCAGTAAGAAAGAACAGATCCCATGTGGTCTGGTGTGATTCGATTCCTGCTCCAGGAAGATCTTATTCTGAATGTGAAGCCACCAGCACCCATCAGTGACTTTCTCATGAACCAAGAATTACTGTATCGAACAGCCGAGTTGGGTACTCCTAGCAGAAGAGTATACCAGTTAGTAATTCCACAGTCACTAGTGAATGTAGCCTTACAGCTAGTTCACGATGTACCAGGTGTTGCACACCCTGGTATGGATCGTTCAGTAAAACAAGCCAGATTGAAATACTTTTGGCCTCGAATGGCAACTGATATTTCTGAGTATGTTAAGAAATGTAGTGTCTGCATGCAACATAAAGGCAATGCTAATGGTCCTAATCCAATCCAAGTGTATCCAACTACTAGCGAACCTTGGGAAAGAGTTGCGCTAGATTTGTTAACTAATTTCCAATGTTCCCTCCAAGGTAACAAACATCTGTGTGTTATGGTAGACCATTTCACCAGATATTGTGAGTTCCTATTGCAGACAAGACTGCCAAGACAGTAGCCAAAGCGTTTAAAGAACGCATTATCTGCAGGCATACCACTCCTAAGTCCCTAGTAACAGATAATGGAGGTGAATTCTGTAATGAAATTCTTGAAAATTTGTGTACCTTGTACAAGATCTCTAAATCCACCATTGTTCCTCATCATCCTGCCAGCAATGGGTTAGCGGAACGAACCAATAAGAAAGTACTTGATGTCTTGAGAGCCACTATCAATCCCAACAGTGAAACTTGGGATAAAATTATACCTGATGTGCAGTGTGCTATAAATTCTGCTTACAATGTTTCTATAGGTGACACTCCACATTATGCATTGTACGGTGTAGATAAACGTTTGCCTTATGAGTTGTTATATTCTAATCCGAAACCAAATTACAACCCTGATGATTTCATAGCAACTCGTACCAGCTTAGCTCAAAGTGTTTTTAGAAGAATCCGTGAAACACTTCATAAATCAACAGCTGAATTTACAAGAGTCGCAAATACTCGAGTAAAGCCATCCAAAATCAAAGTAGGTTCGAGAGTTATGCTGATTAACTTTAACAAAACGTCTGCAATGCCAAAGCTTGATCAAAAGTTTGTTGGTCCTTATCGAGTAGTTGAACATATCACTGGTAATAGTATAAGGTTAGAGAGATTAGTACTGGTCAGTATAAAGAATCGCATTTGGATCATATGAAGTTAGTATGTGATGATAATGATGTTCCAACCCAGACTAATGTGACCAGACTCTGACAATCCTCCTGATCCTGTACTCCCTTCCTCTGATACTCAGTCAGACGATCAACCTGAATGTCGTTATTCCCTACGTACACGACAGGTATTGAGAAATCCTCAAGTATCATTTGTAACTTCCAATTCAGAATTGCCTCAAATACAGCATGAGTTAGCCAATGCTACAGAGTTTGATCCTCCCAGAGATGACACCCATTCTGCATATGCCTATCTTACCCTAGCAGAGTTGGGGTTAATGTAAATAACCTGTAAGATGAATAATTACATATCAACTATCAGTATTCAAGAATTTTTTTTTGTGTGTTCGTGTTCTCTCCGCATTCTGAGAGTTAACAGTCTAGATTTGCGTGCACCAAATCTGCCTTTCTGTTAAACACTCTTTCTTTGTATATATTCCTTCCTCAGAATCCGTAGATCACATGAATACAGATCGATCGATCAACATTTTTTTTATCACTGTAATCTTAACGTTGAGTTCGTTGTTCATTTGTTGAGTTTTAAGTTGTACTATAGTATACCTTGTATTGCATTACAGTTTCAGTTACGTAAGCTTTCATTTCAATGTTCTACTTATGTATCTATAATGTTTAATGTTGTGTACTTTGACATTGTATAGAATCAGCCCAAGCCGTATACCTGCCATCTCTAGTTTGTATTAGTTGTATGTCGGGACGACATACGTTAGCGTCGCCGAGCTCTCAGTAGTAGTAACCAGTTACCAGTCTCAGTAGTAGTAACCAGTTACCAGTAACCGTCCGTTGACTCAACGACCAACCGTCTCTGCCTGAGTCACTATCTGAATTCATATTGTGCTGACCTCAGCAGTATTCAAAGCCCCCCTCACATAGGGTACTGCAGCCGGCTAGTCAGTATTACGAGTGTAACCAAGGAGATAGGTACGGCTGGCAAGGGCTCTCTCCACATAACAGCAATTATACGTAATAACAGCCTACGTGAGTATTTCTTCCCTAATCCACGTATCGAACTCCCACGTGATAACTGATGTAGAACAACTGGTGTAAAACAACTGGTGTACAACAACTGGTGTAAAACAACTGGTGTAGAACTGGTGTAGAACAACTGGTGTACAACAACTGGTGTAGAACTGGTGTACAACAACTGGTGTAGAACAACTGGTGTACAACAACTGGTGTACAACAACTGGTGTACAACAACTGGTGTAGAACAACTGGTGTACAACAACTGGTGTAGAACAACTGGTGTACAACAACTGGTGTACAACAACTGGTGTACAACAACTGGTGTACAACAACTGGTGTACAACAACTGGTGTACAACAACTGGTGTAGAACAACTGGTGTAGAACAACTGGTGTACAACTGGTGCAGAACTGGTGTAGAACAACTGGTGTAGAACTGGTGTAGAACAACTGGTGTAGAACAACTGGTGTAGAACAACTGGTGTACAACAACTGGTGTACAACAACTGGTGTACAACAACTGGTGTACAACAACTGGTGTAGAACAACTGGTGTAGAACTGGTGTAGAACAACTGGTGTAGAACTGGTGTAGAACAACTGGTGTAGAACAACTGGTGTAGAACAACTAGTGTAGAACAACTGGTGTAGAACAACTGGTGTAGAACAACTGGTGTAGAACAACTGGTGTAGAACAACTGGTGTACAACAACTGGTGTACAACAAC